CCCTCCCCACCCCAGCCCCCCCCCCAAGTCTCGCCACGGGACTCCCTCCCACAGCGGGCCCGCGCGCCAAGTGCCAGAGTTAGAAAGTTCGCCGAGAGCCGGCCGCCGGGGTCCCCGACCGCCCGCCTCCGGCCCCACCCCCGCCGGAGCGGTGTCATTCCGGGGAGGGCATGCTAATTCGGGTCGGCCCCGTCCGGAATGGGGGCCGGGCGAGGGCGGGAGGAGGGCGGGGGCGCCGGGCCGGGAGCCGGGCGCGCAGTAGCGAGGAGGCAGGCCCGGGGCGGCCGGGCCGCGGAGTCCCGAGCGGTCACGAAGAGGGTTAACCCAGTGCCGGGCGGCGCGGCGCGCAGAGCCAGCCCCGCGGCCGGCTTATTGGGCCAGCGCGCGGAGAGACAGAGGTCTGCAGCAAATCACGAACTAATTGATTAAGGCGAGCGGGTTTGAATAGCGCTGGCCCGGTGCCAATCGCCTTTCAAAGAGCCCCTCTATGATTAATCGCAATGCATTATTGATAATCATAATTATAGCAGGACACATGCGCGCTGCGCCCGGGGCCGGGGAGCCGGGGAGGGGGCGGGCGGGGGGGGGGGGGGCGGGCGGGCCGGCGGGCGGGGGGAGCCGCCGCCGCCGCCGCCGCTCGATTTCAGTAATTTTGAGAAGATTTTTTTTTAGTAATTTTTTATTCTGCCCCAGCTGATGTTTGAGCCAGCATGTCGCGGAGAAAGCAAGCGAAGCCTCAACATTTCCAATCCGACCCCGAAGTGGCCCCGCTCCCCCGACGAGATGGTGAGTGCTCCGGCCCGCGCGCGGACTCACACACTCACACACACGCACACACACACACACGCACACACGCGCGCGCGCGCTCACACGCACCCTCGGACCCACGACCTGCGGGTTAGCCCCCCACGCCGCTGGCCCCCTGGCCCCCCGTGCGTCCCCCCTGGCCATGCAGCCGCTGCAGTTTTTCTTTTTCATTTCCAATTCGCCTTTGCTGGGTTTCTTCCCCCCCCCCCCCCCCGCCCCCCCCCGCCCCCCCCCCCCCACGGCCCTGCGGAAAGCAAACCCATCTCCCTGCAGGGTCTTCGCGGAGTTGTGGGAGGGGGAGCACGCCTGCCTTTCTCCGCCGGCCCTGCCGCTCCCGGGCCCGGAGCCCGGGGGGTGTCCGAGCTGCGGCCGGTGCCCTGGTCGGACTCGGGTGCCGGAGAGCGCGGTGGCGCCGGCGGCCGGGGCTCTGCTCCCCGCGCGTCCTGCCGGGGTCCCCGGCTTGCCCTCCGCCTCCGTCCTTCTCTCGGCCGGAAGAAGTTCAGTTGGCCCTCGGGGTGAACTCCGATCGCCAAGGGAGCCCCTCGGACAGCCCCTCGCACACACACCAACTTCGCGTAGGCCCGCGCGGCGGGAAGAAAGTGGTCTGAGATGGAAAGTTGTGAGAAGGTGGGGGACCCGGCTCGGGGTACCTCGCTCCGAACGCGCCGGGCTGGGAAGTGCTTTCTGCCCTGGCTTCTTCTCCACCCAGCGCTGAGGTTTCCTGAGTTGATCCTCATTTCTTTTTTCCCAACACGTGCAACCCCCGCCCCCCAAGAATCTTTACACTCCGCTTGCTCCCACTGGGGCTCGTGGGACTCCACACGTGCGTGCGAGGCGGAGAAAGACCCGGGCGGGGAGCGTGATTTTCAGGGTCGGGGCGATCCAGCCAGAGGAGAGCCCCCTCCTGCAAAACAGGGACACTCATTTTCTCCGATGGTGGGGACCCCCGTGGGGGTCCGGGAAGGGGGGAATGGACAAGTCCAGAGGCAAGTTTGTATTCCGAAGCTACGCCTGAGCTGGGAGAGGTCTGTGAGGGAATGTAGGGGAGCAGGACGGTCACCTCGAATCCCTACTCTTTCGGTAAATGTGTGTCCTTTTAGGAGCCTCGGGGCTCCTAGGCCCGGCGGCCCGAGATGTTGGGGCGGCCCCGGGCTCGGCTCCCTGGGTCATCCCGGCGGGACGTTCGACTTGGCGATTGTCAGAAAGTCGAGGGATAATCCTGGAAGGGGTTGAGGGCCTGGGATACCCCCCAGGAATCTCACGTTTCCTGGGCTTTTTAGGGGCACAGAGGGAAGATACCGACCGGGTTTAGAAACACACCCGGAGATCGGCATCCAGAAAAACTCCCAGGCCAGCGGGGCCCCTGTGCCCCAGGGGTCCTCCCCTAGAGGCCTGCTGCGTCCCGCAGAGCTGGGGCCCAGGGATGGAGCACAATCCAGATACGGAGTCGAAGGAATCATCATGTCCTTGCCCCACTGTTGGGGAAGGGGATGTTCGGCGCGGGTGGGAGGCTTTTAGGAGTGAGGGGCCGGAGGAAAATTGTTTACAATATTTGCCCCAAGTTTCTAAAAGCTTTTCCAGCTTTACCGAAGCGATTTCTCAGTCCGCTGAGACGAGTCCTTCGTACCCGCTTTCCTCTCCAGGCTGGAGTGGGTGCGCGCGCGGTAGATAGAGGTGAAATGCACAGAGGCCGGAGCATCTACTAATTTTTCTGGGTTTTATCAGCGGGTTCCTTCTGCCTCTTGCTCCCACACGCATCTATCCTAAAGTTTCTCATGAGATCTTCCATTGTCAAAAGTTCCAAATTCGTGTGCGAAAAAACCCAATGGGAGAAAAGAAGGATTCAGTGTTTAGGGGTTTTGTGTGTAAGTTTTTACTAATTTTATCCACTGCCTGCTCCCTAAAAAAAAAAAACAGGGAAAAAAAAAACCCAAAACAAAACAAACCTGGTGGCGCAGAGAAATATACTCACTAGATGTTTTGTTTTCTCCTCTTCTGAAAAATGCTTCTGAGAAGCATTTTTTATAGTAAAGACTTCTCGTAAAAGATTTAGCCTAAAAGCAGCTCTCTGCCTCACTCTATTTTATTTATTAGTTCTATTATATTTTAGTTTATTTGAGTTTTGAGGTAAGTTAATTAAGTAACTGGATGAAGTTTTCTTTCAATACTTTCCTCCCCTTTTCTTGTAATTTCTTTTTCTTTTTATCCCCAAAAGTTAGTTCATTGTCCTGAGAAACAGTAAACATCTGAGGGCACTGGAGGGGCACTTCCCTGCCAGCTCCCTTCACCCACCTCTAACATCCCTTCCTGGGTTGATGTGTTCTTGAGTTTTTGTTTTGTTGTTCTGGTTTTTTTTTCTTTTTCTTTTTTTCTCCTGTAGTAATCGTTTTAGGTTATGACTGTTTTTACATGGTTGAACATAAAGTTTGGGAGAAGTTGCCTAGAGGGTAAATTTTTGTAATAGGGGTTACAGGATTTAGTGTAGTGTAATGTTGTTGCTTCTTGTTAGGTGCTGGTGAGTAGGTTTTCAACTCTTAGTGACCCCATGTGACAGAATGAAATGACTCGATGGGTTTGTTGGGCTTTTTTAAAATCTGTAATCTTCACCCAAGGAGGAAATTACAAGTCTTTGACCCACACAGCCAGTGACTGGGTTTGAACAACCAACCTCTCTGTTAGCAGCCAAGCTATGCTGAGCTGTTTGACCACCAGGCTGCCTTTTGTTGCACTAATGTTGGTACACAACTAACCTTCTCCAGTACTAAGGGGACCTCCCACATCTCCAGTCTTTTTCTTTGGGAATATTTGTGGACCAGACATTGAGGATTGCAATTCATAACATAACTCAAAATAGCCTTTCAAAAGTCACCTTTTTTCCCCCTCTGCAGTGAATTCAACAAACTACTTTCCCCTCACATTCCTATCTCTATCTCAAGGAGGGTTTTTATTCGTTTGCATTTTCAATCTTATAACATTAAAAAGCCAAATTTTAGAAGACAAACCTCAATTCAGTTTGATACTTTTATTTCCCTTAAATCTTGAGATGGCAATTAACGTATTGAGCCCATCAAGTTAAGTATAGTTTATTCTCTACTCCTTCAAATTCAATGACTTGTACCTAGTATTGGAACTAGAAAAGTTTGTAGGCCTCAGTTACAGCTGTCCTGAAAGAACTAATATGCTGTGTGCTTGTGTCTCGTGTGTGTGTGTGTGTGTGTGTGTGTGTACACACACTGGGGGGTGCTGACTGTGGATGCACTTACCAAAAAACTAAACCCAAGTCATGCTTATGGCCAGTGGCACTGACAGAGCTTCTTCAAAAGAACAAGTTCAAGAAAACGTTGGTTCAATTTAGAGTGTGGATATTTAATTCTACTTCAGTGCAGCTGAAATGCCAGAAATGCGCTAAACTTGGAAATTTTTCTGCTTCTTGTGAAACCAAAATTATGGTCAAATATTATTTGTCTCCTGAATGATATTCAACAAATCTTTCATTCCTTGTAGGAAAGTGACTGCTTTTAGAAACTGATATACTCAGTTAAGTAATTTTCAGGGGAAGAGATGTTGGGTTATTTGAATGGTTCTTTACTAGAGGTCTGGATCCCGGGACTTTGTATTTCTGTGGGTATTCCATTTGCTTCCTTTGGTGGTGTTAGAAAGATTTTTGTAACTACATGGATGGCCTCGTCAGCCTCCATTCATCTCTTTAGGAAGTATTTGGGTGCTTCGCTATTTCACAGAAAAGATAATATTGGGATAAAAATGTAAAAATCTTGAGTTGCATGTAAAACATTGACTTTGTCACATAAAGAATCCTAAAAATTCCTATTTATATTAATAATGAAATTCTATATTTATCAAAGTAATTTACTCAGTGTGGGCAGCTTAATGGCAACACATTGATTTCTAGGCCCAAAAGGGGAGAAAGAACTATAATTAATGGCTTTTTTTTGAAAAACCGACACCTGCAAGATAAGGCAGTAGGGAAGAATTCATGCTTAAGCAGGCCTATTCTGCGCTTTGTAGCATAATGAAAGATTGTGGATGAGAAAACACAAAATGTTTTTTGGAATTGCTTCAGTCTGCTCATACTTCCTCACAGGTTACAAACACAAACAAAGTCTAATTGGGAGGGAGATGGTGTTATTAAAGAGTCGAATTTGTGATACTGAATGTTTTGTGATTTATTTTACATCAGGTTTCTCCTATGAGTTTTAAACACAAGTGCCAATTTATAGGTTATTCTTTTGGGTTTTTTTTTCTTTTTCTTCTTCTTCTTTAGACTTTACCAGCAAAAGTCCTTTACAAGTTCATGGGTTTAAGGTGACGATCAATCTGACTGGAAACCTGGAAAAGAAATTGGGGAAACCAGTAGTTAGATTTTTGGTTTTCTGGTTTTGTCTTTTTTTTTTTTTTGAAGATTGTTACAAGACAAGCTCTATCTAACTGAACAAAACTCTTCTCTAGTTTTAACTAGGTTTTCCTACCACATATGCCAGTGCAGCTTAGCTAAATCTTCCCAAATAGGGAACCATTTAATGCTGGGGATGGTTAGTTAACCTGAGATTGGACACCCTCCCCTGCACAGGAGGGGGAAAAGTGTATGCAGGCTTCATAAAACCTAGATGTGTTGAGCTGTTTTAACCTTTGCTAGCCCCCTTCCATGAAAAGCGACAAGGTCCAGATGATAGTATGTCCTTCAGTGTCTTCCCAGTGACCCCCAAATTGAATCCTGCTAATCACTTAGCAGGAAGTAGTAGTTTATTTTCGTTTCACCTTATCAGCTTGGCTTCTTTTCCTAACCTTATTCCCCTGTCACCCTCAGATGCCAGACCCCCAAAGGGGAAGATTGACAAGTAGTTCCCATAGCTCTGCTTTACCCTCAAACAACAGGATTTAGTTTCTTGTGCCTTTGCCAATGTTTATGTAGTCAAAGTTCAAATCTCGCCGAAAGGAGTCTCTCTTTTACGCGTCACTGGAATAGGAAAGCCACAAAGAAGTTTTCGAACAACCCTCGCAACTGGAACCCCATCTAGTGTTCAGTTTGGTTTATCCATGGTGAAGATATTTCCCCCTTTCATTTCTTGGGTTCATTTAGGTGAACTTGGATTATTATTATTCTTTCTAAAGGAGTGTCTTGTGCATGGTTTTGTGGGGTTGGTTTTTTTTTTGTTGTTGTTGTTGTTTTAACTCTTTTTTCCAGAGATCTTACTTGTGTGCCCCTCCACTTGAGAATCCACTAATCTTGGTCAGAACAACTAGGAACTTAAGTTAATTTGTCATCTGATTACATATCACATAGAGGAGACTATAGACGTGACAGGAAATAAGCACTGACATATGTTGCAGTGTTTAAAATGTCTTTGAAATCTCAAGTTGAACATCTAGATTCCAGGCTTTTACTGAAGCTGTGTGGGGAGGGAGGAAGTTAAAAAAAAAAAAAAGTTGGTCAGTTAAAAGGGTTTCTGATGGCCTTTCCACCCAGGTCCACAGAAAGGAAGAGCTTGTTAAGAGCGTGAGCTCCAAACTGAAAATTGCAAAGGATTCCATTTAAAAAAAAAAAAGTGAGTGTAATCTTGTGGTAATGGCAGTCCAGTGAAGTATCTTTCTGAGGAGTTCCGATAAAGAAAACTAATATGGTAGAGTGTGTTTGCTTTTGTATTGTTTTGTTTTCCTTCTCCCAGCTAGCTAACCCCTTCTGTGTAGAACACAATTTGGTTTTTATTTTCTCAGTGGACAAATATGCTGGGACATTTGTGTTTTCTGCTTCCTATTCTACAGTGTTCTGTTCAGATGATGGAAAAACTGACAAATTTGATTTGGGCATCAAGTGCCCAAAAGGAATCAACACAGCTGGAATTTTAGTAAAAATTGTGTGGAGCTATCATATGATCCCCTTGAAGTTTTTTAAAATGTCTTTTTGTATATATATGGTTTAAAAACCATTTTTAAAAAATATTTTCCTATCTGGGCAGAATTATAACATTATTTTGCATGTAAACTCAATGCAAAGAAATTAGAATGTTATTTTCACTGTAGCATTAGGAAGTAAAGCAACTGTATTTACCTTAATGGGGTTACTAGTTGCAATCTTGTGTAACAGATTAAGCTAGATACAAAATAGACAAAATAGGGATGAGTAAATTAGGAGTTTCTTGTTAGGGTCTTTTGCTTTTTTTATTTTATCACAATTTAACATATTCTCTCTAGTAGTTAAAACATTTTAAACTAATGGTCAAGTTTGGCCTTCTTGGAGGGGGAAAAAACCCAAACATTGAACAACAATGTTTCATTAGGATTCCAGAATGGTTATAGGTTTAAAGTTAAGAATTATTCAATCCTTTATAGTGTAGTGACACCTGCTTTTGAAATAAATCAAAATGGAGATCAGGTTGGTGGGGTTTTTTTTGTATATTCATAAACATCAGGAAGTTAAATTAGTTGACTCTACACTGAGATCAAATGTCAGTTTCTTACAATGTCTTAAAAAAAATCTAAGCTGAAACATGGACTGCTTTTTAACAAAGTCTTTTTCTTAGAAGCAAGCAAGTTTGGGGTTGGGGAGTTTTTCTTTTTGAAGTAACTCAAGTTCTCATCCAGTTAGTACAATCCTAAATAAAATGTTCAGGTAGAAAACTTGAAAAATCTCAAGTGAATCTTGAGGCCGCACACACACAGAACTGGAGTGCAAGAAAGTAATAATCTGCTAAGTCCTGTAAAGTAACCTTCCTTTCATTTTCTCTCTATATTATGAGAATATCACATGTTTGCAAGTTATAAAGAATTAAAACGCCCTTTAATCATGAGAACAGATGTGCTAAATATTTGAAGCAACTACATTGTAATGTGTACAATTGATGAAGTCAGTTTTCTGATTTCCCTTGCTAGTTATTTAGTTCTGAATCTGTCATTATTTGTCTAAGCCCAGCTGACCAAGCAAAACTGTGTTTTAAAGTGGCTTTATGTTTTGATAAATGTGAGCTGGTTGAAAAGTATTTTCCACTGAATGCAGAGCTTAATAGAACATGCTGACATAATAGTTTTAATGCATTTTGTTGAAAATGTGTGAACAAACAGAATAGCTTTTGTTCCTTCATAATTGGCTGTAAAAGTAGATGGAAACATAACCATTACATATGGAAATGTGCAAAGAGAAAGAAATAACATTTCTGTTGAATATATTAGGAATTGCATTTCCTAGTTTAAAATAAGCATCTGAGATGGATGCATCATTTAAAATTGGTTGTCAAAATAAGAAGCTTTAAACAGAATTTTTGTCACATTATTTTTGTCCCAAGTTAAGCAACATAACTTTAGTGAATTTCGTTTAATATTTTGTTTATGTGATTCTAAGGCAGTGAGAGAAACAGAAAGTGCTTGAAACAGCACCTTGTCTCTGCATGGGAATCCAGTGGCAATTAGGAGGGTTAAATATAAAATGAAAACAGAATCATTATTGTTATTTTTGGTTGTTATTGTTAATCCATTTTTCACTGTGCCCTTGTAGAGAGTGAAAGCTAGATATTAGGAAAGCTAGCTCCTAAAGTATAACATACCTACATAGGTAACATTTGTAGGGAAAAGAGTGTGTGTGCACTTCTCATATATTTTACCAGGGGCCTCATGGACACCATCACCCCAGGCTAACAGAGTTAGGCATTTGCAAAAGTTGATATTCACTTATTAATTACAGGTTTTGAGATGCAAATGACTAAAGCATTTTTTTAATGTTTCTTCCAAAAAGAAAAGGCAAATAGATGTCTCTTTGAGTTGGCTATACATTTACTGAAAAGCAACATTTTTATTTTGCATTTATTCATATCTATAATTACTTTTTCCTTTCCCCCCTCCTTGCAAGTTTTCTGGGAGATTCAATTTGGAAGTCATGGAAACTACCTATTATCTGATTCAGTTCTGAAGAGAGAGAGGAGGGGGGAAAAGGCATGCAGGGAGGTAATCCTTGAATTAAACAGTTCTCTTTTTTTTTCACAGCCTTCCAAGATGACCACACACCATTTGTACAACAGAAGTTGGTGTCCCCCATGCGGGGCAAACAATGGGGCGCCATCCTGTCTCTGAATAGGATGTTAGCCCGGAGTCGGAGATTTTTATGTTTAATTTACAAATGGATCTTAGAGAGAAGAAATCTGAGCAACCAGTGGAAACAAACATGAAATAAAGAGATTTTTTTAAATGAAAGGTTCAGGACAATCTGTTAAACAATTGATAACAGTTAAAAGCAAACTGTTTTTAAAGGCATTCAGACAGGCAGAATTGCAAAGCATTTCCAAACTCTAAATCAAGAATGATTTCTTCTGGGATGGGAGCACATCTCCATCGTTGCACATCCCTCTTTTAAGTTGATGTGTAATCAGAAATGTAAATCTTGGGCCAGGTTTTAAAGACATACAGAGCACTTTTGTTGAACTATTCAGAGGCATAATGTTGTCATGTGGAGCATATTGGCATATACTCCCCATCAGTGGAATTGTAGCCCCAGTTGCATTCTTTAAGTTTAAAAATAAACATGTCGTGAGAGATTCTGCAGGTGTCAAGCATGCCGTGAAACAGACTTTGTGCATTGTGTTACTCTTTATTGTGTGTGTGTTGCTTTCCCTTTTGTATTCAGCTGGGTCTTGGAGGATCTGTTACTGCTGTGACTAAAGCAGTGTGTCTGGGATCAGACTCCATTCGGTTCTGAGTAGGGGCGGTTCTGAGTAGGGCCTGTTCTGGTTAAGGGCTGGTTTGGTTAAGGGCTGGAGATGATTTCCAAATTGTCAGTCTACAGCTTGGTGAGATGCATTTTCCCCCTCCTTGTCAACAACTGATTGGAACTTGAATGACTACAAATTAGTTTAGTGACAGAACAAACTGTCAAAGATATCTTTGAATCAGCTGAAAATGAGTAAGGTTGACAGAAACTCAAGAGGCTAATGAGTCCTCAGAATGGTTGCTGGATCCTCTCTGGACACGTTGACAATAAGGTGTATAAAATATTGGAAATCAATATTTTGCTATGAAATTTCATTATGCACCAAAGTCTGCAGTTCATAGTATTTTATATTTTGATGGATTATCTGAAGACCATGATTCCGAGATACCAGACTGATAGGACTTCCTCTCACTCCTTAAAAATTAATTATGGATGACTTGAATCATATTGATTGGTTGTTGTCTTTCAGGGGCTACAGTTTTCCATTTTGCAGGTAGCAAACAATTGATGAGTCCCCCTATTTCTGAAGTCATGGATGGCTGTGTTCAGACTCCCTCTCTAACCCCGTGTCTTTTGATGTTTGTAGGAGACACAGAGAAGGGTCAACCAAATCGAACCACTAAGAACAAGGACGCCCACATCTGTGGCAGGTGCTGTGCGGAGTTCTTTGAATTATCAGATCTTCTGCTCCACAAAAAGAACTGTACTAAAAATCAATTAGTTTTAATCATAAATGAAAATCCTGCTTCCCCTCCTGAAACCTTCTGCCCCAACCCTCCTTCCAATAATCCTGGTGAACAACTGAATGACACAGTTAACAAAACAGATCAAGTAGATTGCAGTGACCTTTCTGAACACAACAGGCTTGACAGGGAAGAGTCCATGGAGGTGGAGGCCCCAGTTATTAAGAAAAGCAGCAGCAGCAGCAGCAACCACAGCAGTAGCGCCCCGAGCAGCGGCGGCAGTGGCAGCAGTAGCAGCAGTGCCGCCCCAAGCTGCAATGGCAGCTCCTCTACAGGTACCTCAGCGACCACAACCTCTCTACCTCAACTCGGGGACCTGACGACACTGGGCAATTTCTCCGTGATCAACAGCAACGTCATCATCGAGAACCTCCAGAGCACCAAGGTGGCGGTGGCCCAGTTCTCCCAGGAAGCGAGGTGCAGCGGGGCCTCCGGGGGCAAGCTGGCCGTCCCGGCCCTCATGGAGCAGCTCTTGGCCCTGCAGCAGCAGCAGATCCACCAGCTGCAGCTCATTGAACAGATTCGGCACCAAATACTGCTGTTGGCTTCTCAGAACGCAGACTTGCCAACATCTTCCAGTCCTTCTCAAGGTACTTTACGAACATCTGCCAACCCCTTGTCCACGCTCAGTTCCCATTTATCTCAGCAGCTGGCGGCAGCAGCTGGATTAGCACAGAGCCTCGCCAGCCAATCTGCCAGCATCAGTGGTGTGAAACAGCTCCCCCCAATCCAGCTACCTCAGAGCAGTTCTGGCAACACCATCATCCCATCCAACAGCGGCTCTTCTCCCGATATTAACATATTGGTGGCAGCGGTGACTACCCCCTCCTCGGAAAAAGTGGCTTCAAGTGCTGGGACCTCCCACGTCAACAACCCAGCCGTCTCAGCATCATCCTCACCAGCTTTTGCAATAAGCAGTTTATTAAGTCCTGCATCTAATCCACTTCTACCTCAGCCATCCCCCGCTAACTCGGTTTTCCCCAGCCCTTTGCCCAACATTGGAACAACCGCAGAGGATTTGAACTCCTTGTCGACCTTGGCCCAGCAAAGAAAAAGCAAGCCACCAAATGTCACTGCCTTCGAAGCAAAAAGTACTTCCGATGAGGCGTTCTTCAAACACAAGTGCAGGTTCTGCGCAAAGGTCTTTGGGAGTGACAGTGCCTTGCAGATCCATTTGCGTTCTCACACCGGAGAGAGGCCGTTCAAATGCAACATCTGTGGGAACAGATTCTCCACGAAAGGCAACCTGAAAGTCCACTTTCAACGTCACAAAGAGAAGTACCCTCATATCCAGATGAACCCATACCCTGTGCCTGAGCATTTGGACAACATCCCCACGAGTACCGGGATTCCATATGGCATGTCCATTCCCCCTGAGAAGCCAGTCACCAGCTGGCTGGACACCAAGCCGGTCCTGCCCACTCTGACCACCTCCATTGGCCTGCCATTGCCCCCCACCCTCCCCAGCCTCACCCCCTTCATCAAGACCGAAGAGCCAGCCCCCATCCCCATCAGCCATTCTGCCGCCAGCCCTCCAAGCTCAGTCAAAAGTGACTCTGGGGTCCCTGAGCCAGTCACCAGAAACCCACCTGGGCTCCCTGTGGAAGCGGAAGGGTCCACCCTGCCACCCACCAGTGGGAAAACTGAAGAAAGCAGCGAGGTTACCGGTTCAGGCCTAACAGCGAGCAGAACCCTGAGCTCTCCAGCTGGGGACACCGGGGCAGGCAGTGCTGTTGCATTAACCAACCCTCTGTTGCCACTCATGTCAGAGCAGTTCAAGGCGAAGTTTCCCTTTGGGGGGCTGTTGGACTCAGTCCAGGCATCAGAAACGTCCAAGCTGCAGCAGCTGGTAGAGAACATTGACAAGAAGGCAACTGACCCCAATGAGTGCATCATATGCCACCGCGTTCTCAGTTGTCAGAGTGCCTTGAAAATGCACTACCGGACACACACTGGGGAGAGGCCCTTTAAGTGTAAGATCTGTGGCCGGGCTTTCACCACGAAAGGGAATCTTAAAACTCACTACAGTGTCCACCGAGCTATGCCTCCCCTCAGAGTCCAGCACTCCTGCCCCATCTGCCAGAAGAAGTTCACAAACGCTGTGGTCCTGCAGCAGCACATCCGGATGCACATGGGAGGCCAGATTCCCAACACCCCGGTCACTGAGAGCTACCCCGAGTCCATGGAGTCTGACACGGGCTCCTTTGATGAGAAGAATTTTGATGACCTTGACAACTTCTCTGATGAAAACATGGAGGATTGTCCTGAGGGCAGCATCCCCGATACCCCCAAGTCTGCAGATGCATCTCAAGACAGTCTGTCATCTTCACCTTTGCCCCTGGAAATGTCAAGCATCGCTGCTTTGGAAAATCAGATGAAGATGATCAATGCGGGCCTGGCCGAGCAGCTGCAGGCCAGCCTCAAGTCGGTGGAGAATGGGTCGGTCGAGGGGGACATCCTGACCAACGACTCGTCCTCCGTGGGGGGAGATGTGGAAAGCCAAAGTGCTGGGAGCCCAGCTATTTCAGAGTCTACCTCTTCCATGCAGGCTCTGTCCCCATCCAACAGCACCCAGGAGTTCCACAAGTCCCCCAGCATCGAGGAGAAGACTCAGCGAGCAGCACCAAGTGACTTTGCCAATGGTTTGTCTCCCACCCCAGTGAATGGTGGGGCTTTGGATTTGACCTCTAGTCATGCAGAGAAAATCATCAAAGAAGATTCTCTGGGAATCCTCTTCCCTTTCCGAGACCGGGGTAAATTTAAAAACACTGCTTGCGACATTTGCGGCAAAACCTTTGCTTGTCAGAGTGCCTTGGACATTCACTATAGAAGTCATACCAAAGAGAGACCATTTATTTGCACAGTTTGCAATCGTGGCTTTTCCACAAAGGGTAATTTGAAGCAGCACATGTTGACACATCAGATGCGGGATCTACCATCACAGCTCTTTGAGCCCAGTTCCAACGTTGGCCCCAATCACCACTCTTCAGTGCTTCCCACCAACTCATTGACCACGCTCATCAAGACAGAGGTCAACGGCTTTGTGCATGTGTCTCCTCAGGACAGTAAGGACACGCCTACCAGTCATGTCCCTTCTGGGTCTCTGTCATCTTCTGCCACGTCCCCAGTTCTGCTCCCCGCTCTGCCCAGGAGAACTCCCAAACAGCACTACTGCAACACATGTGGCAAAACCTTCTCTTCTTCGAGTGCCCTGCAGATTCACGAAAGAACACACACTGGAGAGAAACCCTTTGCATGCACTATTTGTGGACGAGCTTTCACAACAAAAGGCAATCTCAAGGTACTCAGTCTGTCTGTATCTCGCTTTCACTCACCTCCCTTTCTCACTACCCCAGGCAATTGATTGATCATGTGTGCTGTGAGTGTCACAGTTTTCAGGGAGGTGGTCCTCCAAAGGACACGTGCCACATGGTCTGATGGCGGAGGACAGGTAGTCCCCCGAGCAGCAGAAACAAAGGCAGGTTGCTGGACATCAGAGTGCTCTGACTAATTTGGTACACACCTCAAAGCAGTGGCCTAACTCTGTTGTCTTGCTAAATGCACCAAACAGATTGCTTTAGCTACCAAGGAAATCAGTCCCACACTGTCATGGGTATTGATTAAAGCCCTCCATGCTGCCCATATCACTTAATAATCAGGGCGCTCTTCAGGGGGTCTGCATGTATGTTTCCTAACTGCAGTCCAGCAGGCTGCTTGTTCTAGAATAGCGAGGTCACCACACAGCTAATGCGCATTATGATAATTGATTAGACAACATTTCCTACTAATACATGTCGGAAAGCAAGCAGATTGCTCAAGTTCTAAAGTAATGGTTAAGCACTTTTACAGTATACCTTTTTCTGTTGACAGAATATTTCTCCAGAGAGTGTTGTCTGTAATGTTATGAGATGAATAATTGCGTGCTACTTTTCTTGGCAAAAATAAGCTTTCCAAAAGGGCAGTCATTGAGGGATATTTTCTTCGCATCTGAAAAGGACATTTTATATGGTAAAGGGTGTCAGATATAGTACTTATCATTTGCAATGAAAGTGGACCTAACAGTTCTAACCCTGCAAGAAGCTATCTGCTAACTGACTGGCTTGCTTGAGGGCATTATAAGCTAAATACAGGTAATAAAAACAGTGTAAGTAAAGGAATCTTTGCCCAGAAAGAGGAAAGGAGGTCCAAGGTTAGAGCACGTGAACATGATAATACTAGTCAGAGGGAGTAGAAGGTTACCTTTCTCTCTGTCATTCATAAAAAATGGTCTTGTGGGCCTCTTGTATTGTTGAATGTTGGGATATGAATTGAGGCTGATTCAACTAATAAGCGTCTTACCCTCCTCTGCTCCCTTTTCCCTGTCTCCTTGTGTCTCAGGTACACATGGGCACTCACATGTGGAATAGCGCCCCTGCTCGGCGGGGCCGCCGGCTCTCTGTGGACGGCCCCATGACATTTCTAGGAGGCAATCCTGTCAAGTTCCCAGAAATGTTCCAGAAAGATTTGGCAGCCAGGTCAGGAAGTGGGGATCCTTCCAGTTTCTGGAATCAGTATGCAGCAGCGCTCTCCAATGGGCTGGCAATGAAGGCCAATGAGATCTCCGTCATTCAGAACGGTGGCATCCCTCCAATTCCTGGAAGCCTTGGCAGCGGCAGCAGCTCACCTATTAGTGGGCTGACGGGCAATCTGGAGAAGCTCCAGAACTCGGAGCCCAGTGCTCCTCTAGCCGGCCTGGAGAAAATGGCCAGCAACGAGAACCGAACCAACTTCCACTTCACACGCTTCGTGGAGGATAGCAAAGAGATCGTCACAAACTAAAGTGGTTCTTGGCTTGGGAAAGAACGTTCCTGTTCAGAATGTGACCTAGTTGCCTCCACCGCCTCCTCTTCTGCCCCGTCTCTTGCCTCCAGACCCCCACTTCTCCAGGAACACCCCCCCCCATGAACTACAACAGGATGAAGACATTCTTTTCTACCTTGTTCAACTTCTAGAGTTCTAAGAAAGCTTATTTATTAGTGATATAACCTTGCTTTGCAAACAGGATGCAAGCATTAACTTTGGTCTTCTGTATTTTCAACTAAATACTAATTGACTAGAGTGTTGTAAACTTGCTGTAACATTTATGGCAATTGCAAGTTGCCCTGCTAGGCGGTCTTAATCTGGCATTAACTTATTTTCTATACTCAGTTTAATATGAATCTGGTGTTGATGCAATGTCTCCGTGATGCATTAGTTCCCTAATAAAGTCTGTATATAAATGTACATTTTAATCTTGCTGGAAAATTTTATCAGCAAACACATTGTTGAATCTCTCAGAACAGATTTAAGGAAAGGACTGGAAATACAAACTGAAGAGTGTGGTTCTCAAAAAAAAAAGTTCAGTTCTTTTCATTTTTATTCTAAAATTCATCCCTTTTTTTTGGTAGATTTAACTATTTCCGTTTTGAACTGCTATTTGTATTGTGTATTTTACTTGAGTTGTCCTCAATGTTAATATGTTTCTGTACAGTAATAAGCACGCAGAATTCTTTAGAGAAATACAAGTGTTTTGGTAGTTGAAACTGAGACGTAACATTTTGCCTTGTAGGTATATTCACAATAGAAAAATGTGTGCTGGGATTTTACAATGCTGCTAAGTATAGCATCTTGAACAACCTTCAGTGGAGAAAATGTAGATGCTCTTATATATACATACAATAAGAAATACCACTTTCATTAAAATGTACATATGTTCCTTCCTAGAGCAAATGCTTCTGTTTGATGAAGAGAGCAGGTTATAGTGTTTGTTTATTTTGTATTAGATATGGAAAAAGATTGGTCTGTTACATGCACTTTTCTTGCAAAGTTGAAAGGGGGATTCCAATTACTTTAACATTTAAATAGTTACAAGAGAGATTGTAATTTTACTTAAGTAATCAAATACATCCTTTTTTTTTTAACAGATAAAACCCTAAGTCTGTGATTTTTAGAGTGCAATTCTCTTGAGTCAGGCTCCTGAATGTATTTTAGTATTTCTATTTCCCCAGGCGCCAGGAAATTGTTCTATATGATTAAGAAATTGTAAAAGGCTGACCAATAATGGGATTATACAAGCTTTTTTTAAATTTTAACTCAGAAGTTCTAGATATTTTTCCCAGTATCTATTTACTTGTTTGAGACTGTCTCACATTCCTTCTTCCCCAAAACCAAAAATGAAATAAAAAGGTGGTTGTCCGAGGTACATTTGCTTAAGCTAGGGTGTGTACCCATGTAGACCTGACCGCTCACATGATTTCATTTCAGGTGGCCGCTGCAGCTGACAGGACTGGAGAATTCCCTCTCGGCGGGGGTTGTGTCATCTGACTTGCACTGGGCCCTAACCCAGAGAAGTCAACATGTTCTTTCTTCAATTAGTCTTCTAGACATTTACACGCACGTGCATGTTTGCTGGGAGGGGTTATTCCTTGGAGAGGGATGTGATGCTGGGAAGGGTAGAGGGTCGGCAAAGAAGAGGAGGCCCCTCCACCTGGTGACTACTGCAATGGGCTTGTGCATGTGTGTCAGCAAATGTGAGGACGGCACAGAAGAGAACAGGGGTCAGATCTTTTGTTGATAGGGTCACTATGACTTGTGCTCCATGGCACCTAACAACATTATTTAGTCATCAAAATTGAACTGAAGTCCTCCTACTTGCCTTTTGTTCTTCATAGAAATAAGTTTTCCTCCTGAGCACTGTTTGGGGGCTTAGCAAACAAGGTTAAAGGTTTGTTTGTAAAGGAGTCTGAATTTCAGAGTGGCTGTCTGGTAAGGCAGATCAGGAGGCCACAACTGGTGGTGGTATCATTTGATCTCAGGCCATGGGGGTGCGCCCTGGGCTTGTGGAGCCCCAGCTCTGGCCTGGGGGAGAGTGGGAAGCCCGCGTGCGTGAGGCGAGAGCCCCACACCAAGGTAGAGGCACTGTAGTGCAGGGAACCTTACCGTGCATCACGGCCACATGTAAGGGGAGAACTTTCCATCCCTTCAAAGAGACACACTGGCCGATCAGAGAAGTTCCTGCTCTGTGCTGGCCAAACTCAGATGCTTTCTTTGTGAAAGGGGTGTCAGCCACCCCTCTTTGCATCTCCGGATCTGGAGGCTCGTGATTTTGGTGGTTGTGCGTCTGGAAGCAGCCCCTTTGAGCTGGGACAAGGCCTAAGGCACCCTGGGGAGACGTCGGGGCTGCTGGTCAGGGTCAGAGAGAACAGGGGGACGTTCTTCCACACAAGCTCCCACGCCTCGAGGGCCCCATCTGCAAAACGGACGCGGCTGAGCCCACGTAGGGTCCGCTTTCATTCCCTCGTCCCAACCACACCCAACTTGGTGCCACTCCGCAGGTCCCCTCCTGCACCCAGCAGGCAGCCTGCGGTTCCCGGGAAGCAGGAGCAGGGGCACCGGGCAGCTCCCCCTTCTCCTCTCATCGCCAGCTGAAAGTGAGGCCAGGGCAGCCAAAGTAGCTTTTCATTTGCTGAGTGTCCCTGCGAGCGTCTTGGTCTCTCTCTCTCCCCCCGCGGCTTTGTTCTCTGCCCAGTCATCTCTTGATCAACGAGCTTTCTAATCTATTGATCATTACCTGCCCACTCCTATTTCCAAAACAAGAAGTCGCCCTCAGCCCTGTTTCTGCACACTCTTCGCCATCGAATTAGCCCAGCAGAAAAGAAACGGATTTCTATTTCCAAAGCCAGGTCATTGTTTAGGGTTGCTGCTGGTGGTGCGCGCTCTCTCTCGCCCCAGCCGCCCCTCCACACCTCATTCATTTCTATTACCACACTCATTATCGCAAAGGGCATTCCAGGTAGCTTTGGGATTACTGCGGGTACTTGGTTCCAACTAAGGAGAGTTGTACCTCCATGTAAAGGTCTGGTAAAGTTTACAAAATTTCTAATCTAAAAATACTCATTTTGGTGACATTTTCCCCAGTTGCTTTTTAATGTAAAATATAAAAAAATTTTTTTCAGAGACATATAGCAAGCAAAGTAAAACTACAGTGTACCCAGCTTAAAAAAATACTAACAACTCCTTCTCTCTTTTTGTAAAGGAGCCATCGAGCCAAGTTCCTCTGTTGTTCATAGGGTCGCCATGAGTCCTAGTGAACTTCACACACCAAACAACAATCAACAACAGTAAATCACTGAGCCCACTCCCCTCCTCTCTGTCTCTCCTTATCTTCTTTGTGGGTTCCCCTCCCCCTCTTTTTTCCACCACCCCTCTTTCTGGAAAATATTTTGGGAAGGGCAAACTTGTTATTTGAAGGGAAAATGGAAAAGAGAGTCTTAATGACAAACCCAAGAGAGATTTTCCCCTCCTCATGGCCGGGTGGGCAGAGAGGAAAGATCGACTGGAAATAAACAGAAGCTAACTTTGGGCCTTAGCTTTTCAAGTCACAACCCTAAATCTCAAGCCAGGTTCTTGGGGAGCAGGGGACAGTAATTTTAAAAAGAAAAAAAAATTAGGATGAAGTGTTCAAACAGAAAATTCTAAATAATTTGCACTTAATGTAAATTTTGAGTAAACTATTTGCTTATTGTTTTTAGCATATTTGAATATCACGAATGAGAGAGAATTTTTTAAAAAAGTACTACTTCCACTCTGCTAAAACTTAGCACTCTTGTAAGAAAAATAAAGCAATGGGGCTTTACAGGAGTTTCATACTCCATCCTAGAGGAGACGTGTCAGAGGTGGAACAAAATGGGGGGGGGGGTGCAGTATGTAAAGTGAATCTCAAAGGGCTTCCCAGCAAAATGCAATCTGAGATCCACAGAAAGTGGAGATGGATAAGACAGGAATTAGGTCATCTAGTCCAGACCCCAGGAAATATGTTTAGATCAAAGCCTGTTCTGGTAGAATAAACAAAACAGGGCCCATGGGCCCTACCAATATTTTCATCTCTGTGCTAAGGGCTGCTAATCTTGTTGATGAAAGGGGGTAAAAAAGACAACTGTAAAAATGGCTAATAAAAATAAGGATGTCCTCTTACTATAAAGGCAAGATAAAAATGGAGATGTCGAGTGAAAAAGTAACAAGACCCAGGCCCAGAGCAACACAAACTTTGCACAATTGTAATAATAAACTATCTAATCCCAGCCCATGGTTCCCTGTTTGCATGTTACTCCCCCCCCACCCCCACCGTGTGATTGAGTATGCTGCATGATTTACATTTTAAAATAGTTATACTTTAACCCCCAGTCTAAGGCACAGGATAGGGCAAAGGGTTCAGGTCGGCTGTTTGCTAAGAATTGCACTCAACTCCATGGCACCTGACAACAGCAAAAAACATTGCAGAAGGCAAATGTTTAGTTTCCCTTATTTTTCATGCTCTAAAAACTTCATTACCAACTCACCACAGCCCACCCCTAGTCAGCCCACCCTCCTAGCCTTTACTGTTAAGGAGTGTGGTTCTCTTTTAACCCCATTTTAAAGTTTGGTCTCTCTGAATTCTAAGCAGGGGCCAGGAGCCTATGTCATCTAAACCTGGCTGTTGAGACGGTCAGCAGCTGATACTTTACCAGATCAGCCCAAGCCCCAGGTTTAGACTTTCACTGCAGAGCCAATGGCTTCCCACCAACTACCTGGGAGCAATCAATAGATAGAAACTTCCAGAAAAGGGGCAGGAAATCCCAGAGAAGGAAAATTCACTCAGGTTACATCCAGGGTGGTAGTTCCTTGCAAAGCCTGGCTTCCTCTTAACTGTTTAAACATACGATTTGGCTCCTCTTGTGTTTTTATGTCTGCCTGAGCTCAAATTTAACAAAGATTCATGCAATGTGTGGCGGTTTGGCTCCAGCCCCCTCTGGAGCCTGGGGTACAGATGCGGAGTGAATGACGCGGGTCTTTATAAATGGCAGCAGGAACAAACCATCTTCCAGGTAGGCCCTTGACTGCTCACTGAAGACAATTCCAAGACCAGACCTTTACTTACCTTCTGTGGAGGACTTCAGAGACAGTTGGCACCGTGCTGGATTTTGCACAAGTTCCTTTTTCCCTCTTAGCTTCAGAGAGGGACGTTGGCCCAGACTCACTCATGATCAGTTAGGAGGCAGGTGCAGAGAGACCAGGGGCATCATCTCGTAGTCACAGCCACATTCAGTCTGAGGCTCAACGAAGACACCTGTAAATGTGAACGTGGAGGCAAATCGCACTCTCTTTGTAAGAGGCAGGACAGAAAATACTTCTCAGCCAACAGTCTACTTCTGTATTCAGAATTTAGGGGCTTGGCTGTGTCTCTTCTCAGGAGATTTAGAAACTTGATGGTGGGGCTATGAGTCAGCTTTAAGTCAAAGGCAATCAGTGTATATCACAATTATTGAAGCCCTGATGGGCTAGTGATACTGTATTGGGCAGCTGGCCGAGAAGCTGACAGCTGGAATCCCTCAGCGACTCTGTAGCGAAAGGATGAGCAGTCTCCTCTCAAAGATTTATACCCTCAGAAACCTGATGGAGACTCACTACCAGTTGGAACTCTATTCTCTTTTTGAGTCCTTTTTCCCCTCTTCTGTTGTAGCAGTGACCTTTTGCATTCTTCATGGATGATGTTCTTGATGTTATCCCACAGCTCATTTGGCCTCCGTTCATTAGTGTTCAAAGCCACAAACCAGGCCTTGAGGTGGTCTTTAAATTCAAGTGAGATTGACTCAAGGCCGTATTTTGGTTATTGTTTTCATTTCCTTTAGCTTCAGCTTGAACTTGCACATGAGTAGTTGATGGAGCTGTTTCACTTAGCCCCTGACCTAGTTTTCACAACTTACATTTATCTTTTCCAATGATTCTTTCCACAGATGTAGTTTGATGCCTATCTATTCCATCAGGTGAGATCCACGTATATAGTTGCCATTTGTGTTTTTTATAAAGGGTATTTGCAGTGAATAAATCATAGATTGTAGATTCTAAGATTCTCTCTCCAGCCTCATTCCTGTCATCAAGTCCGTATTTTCCAA